TTTGGCCTGGTTAAACTTCATGAGGTTAAACTCATTGGCCTGGTTAAACTTCATTCCCATACCCTAACTCAAATGTATAGGTGGCTAGATTCTTACAGCTTGGTATGCCATGGGCAGTGGGGTACTGCAAGCTACAGGGTTATTTTAGACTGCACTGTTTAAGCATGATCCAAATCTGGACTAATTTGCAGACACTGAATGTCAAGTGGGGGAATGTATCACTTAACTGCCCCTGTGTAACTTAAAGTCCTTCAGGTCACGGCTCAATTTTTGGCCCCAAGTTGTTCTCACTCCTTCAAGGCTGTCTTGGGCTCTATCAGATTTTGCAACTTAGAGAATTAAAAAAGGGTCTTTTCAAGGATGGACAGATCTCAATTGCATCCTATATTAATTTACACACATTATAACTGGAAATGTCTCCTTGCATTGCTGCCTTGTAGGTCCTGACATTGGGTTATTATATTAATGGAAAAATTTTATAATCAATGGGCCAGATTCATGGGCACTCTCAGGCTGCTTTGCATGACTCCACCAACATAAAGCAGCCATAAACTTGATTAAAGTGGATGATTAAGCTGTACCTGCAGCTGCTTTACATCACCAGAGCACTGCAAAGCAGCTAGAGCTGGTGAATCTGGCCCCAAAGCCGCAGCTAGTAAAGACATCTCTTAGAGATGAAACCATGCCTGATGAAAATGATCACTGCTCCACCTGTGCAGGCAGTACCACTTACCAGCAGAGAAATTTATTATTATCTAAATATGAATTTACTCTAGAATATATTAAAACGAACGAGCACCTTGCTCAGGTGCAAGCAGGAGAACACTGTGAGCACGTAAAGTCTTAGAACTTCCTTGGGCTTTAAAGGCTGTTTGATCAAACTGGGGAGGCACTTCCAAAAACTTGCTGCCTGAGCCTTGTGTGACACAAGAAAGATGCAGCCACTAGCCCACCCTGGGATAGAAACAGTGTCCAAACCGCTTCACTAGCCCTCGCTGAAGGAGGTTCTCTCCATTCCTGTCTTCCTGCTCTGGGGCAGTCTGTGTCCTTGAGCAGAAGTTAATGCCTGGTTATGTTGTCCCAGAGGGAAGGTAGAGGCAGTCAGTTTGCTTTCAGCTTGCTTGCTTTCCTGCCCAGACCTCTGTGTGGGCACAGGGCAGGACACAATCCTACTGTTCTACTGTCAAAGTGCAATGGCAAGGCAACATTGACTGTTCTACTGTCAATGTGCAAAACCACATCTGCAACCCAAACATCTTGTCAGTGTCCCCTTGTATGATACATTTTAAACATCTGTACCTGCAAAAATTAAACACAGATTTTCATGCAACATCAGTGGCTTCAAATACAGAAGACAAAACTTTACCCCAAACCTTCAGCGCTTTCATCCAGGACAACCAGCTTTGACTACTTTTTTTTCTCATTTAAATCAGTCTGCTGCAGAGTCTGTGGCAGCTTCTGTGGCATGTCAGAAACCCATATGCCAGCTGACATCACGCTGCA